CAAGAGTTTGAGGTTGCTGTGAGCTGTGATGCCGTGGCACTCTACTGAGGATGACATAATGAGACTCTGTCTCAGAAAACAATAATAATAATAAAATAAAAATAAATAAGAGCAATATTTTTAATTGAAATGCTGAATGATATCTCTGAAAATTTGGTCAGGTTTTGTTTTTTGCCTGGTACTCACTCCTGAGAATTTTACAGCTATGCCTTTCTTGCTTCTTTTCAAACCGTGTTCACCACACAGTTATCAACTGTATCGTTTTACTACAGGGCTTGTCTTACTTGAGCTAAGTATTGTTCACTGTCCGAAAATCTTAATACACACTGGGATATAGCGCAGACCTGGATTTATTTAGATGTTACATTTGACCCTGAGAGATTGTTGTTAGATTAGATTGGAAGTGGAAGCACTCAGGTATGCCAGCCAAAGTTGATATTGTGTTTTTCTAGTTTAGCTTTTGCTGTAAGCCATAAGTCTACCTCATGATTTCAGTGAGTCCGTCTCTCCACAGGTATATTTTTCCTGAAGGATAGTTCAGTATATATTATACTGCCAAGGAGCCACCTCTACTTAGCTGTCAGCCATCTCGAAGTTAATGGTCACAACAAACTCTTAATTTCTTCACTAGTCTGTCCTCTACTGGTTCACATATCATAATAAGTGGTAGCACCATCCACCCGCTCACTCAAGCCAAAAACGTAGGATTCATTCTTTAATCCTCAGTTTCCAGATTTATTCCTTACCCTCCCACACCGTCTGCCCATGTCCTGCTGCTGCCCCCGGCCGTGCCATGGTCCCCTCTCCTGGCCTCTGCTGTCCCTCCCACCTGTTCTCACAGCTCCCACTCCTGCCCCCCGCCCGTTCCATGCTGTTTTGCAGTAGTCCACAAGCAGCCAGAGTGAGCTTTCTAAAGCATAAGTCAGGCCGTGTTGACTTCTTGCTTCATTCCCGTAACAGTTAAGATGACCCTGGACGCCTACCTTGGCTTGCACTTCTGTGTGTGATACGGCTCCGGTCCTCCTCCACCCTTGCCTCATTTCTCATCACTCCCTACTGCCCTGCACGGCCGTCACACTGACCCTCTCGCTCACCAAGCTTGTTCCTGCCTGGGAGGCTTTGCACAGTTCCCTTGCCTAGAATGCTTTGCCATCTCCTTTGAAAAGGGAGTTACATAATCACTCAAAATACAAAATTTAATGACATTCTATATTATAGCCTGTTTCATTATAGTCTTAGGTTTCCACAGCACTTCTCAGTATATGAAATTATCTCTTCATTGCTGCCTCCTCCCTCCAGACACACTCTCACTAAAATATGACGGCTGTGACCTTGCTATAGCCTCTGGAATAGCGTGAGGCACACAGGAGATCTTTGAGGGTATTGAATAAATTGTGTTTGAATGACTGGAGCAAATGGCGTCTTGTCACCATGAACAGCAGCGTTGCCGTGGTTCTTTTCGTGCCATTACTCTTGCTTTGCTGATGGTATAACAGAGTTCTCTGCTTCTCTTTTGTCTGTGCTTTAGATATGAAGCCCCACAGATTGCCTTGCGTTGTGGGATCATGCTGAGAGAATGCATTCGACACGAACCACTTGCCAAAATCATCCTCTTTTCTAATCAATTCAGAGATTTCTTTAAGTATGTGGAGATGTCAACATTTGATATTGCTTCAGATGCGTTTGCTACTTTTAAGGTAATTTTCCCTCCCGAATTAGCTAGGTCATTTAGTTAAAGTTAGTTGGTCTCTGAAGAGGTAGTTTAATTTTAAAATTCAAAAAATTTTAGTCCTTAGGCCTGAACACAGCCAACCATATGTGATGTGGATTGTAAGAGTCATCTGTAAGTGGAATGCAGTCTCTGAGGCCAGTTTGTCACACTGTGGGAAAATAACTCACAACACTTGTCACAAGCACAGATGGAATAAATTGCAATATATAAGTTAAGTGACAAAAGGAACAGACTATGTGTAGCATGCTGTCATTTTTGTTAAAGACAGAGTAAGGGTCATGGGTCTCCCCCTCAGGTGCACAGCAGTGAATGCCCTGCGGGTCCGTAAGAGAAGGCCGTGGTGGGGACTGCAGGGGAGGCATTGGCAGGAGGGGAGATGGAGAATCACATCCTGGAGTGTGAAGGGCATCACATTGTTTCATCAGTGTAATTTTTAAATTTCCACAAGGTGAAAGCAATATTAGTAGATTATATTGTAGCTTTTCATAATGTATATTTTTATCTATTATTTACTAGTTTATCATCAATTATCTATTTTGTCACTATGTAAGAAACAGTAAATTTCACATTGTTGTGTAACCAATTACTGGAACTTGTTTTTTTGTTTTTTTCTTTTGAGACTGAATTTCACTCTGTTGCCCTGAGTAGTAGCTGGGACTATAAGCACCCACCACAATACCTAGCTAGTTTTCTACTTTTAGTAAAGACAGAATCTTGCTCTTGCTCAAGCTGGTCTTGAACTCCTGAGCTCAAGCAGTCTACACCCCTTGGCCTCCCAGAGTGCTAGGATTACAGCCATGAGCTGCTGTGCCTGGCCTCCAGTACTTTTTTATCTTATAAAACTCCCTTTCCCTTCCCTCCTTCCCTAACCCCCACTCCCTGCCCTCCGCCCCCCAGTCTCTTCTCCACAGTGTCTCACCCAGGACAGGGGCATGTTCATAGGTCACCGTAACCTCAAATTCCTGGGCTCAAGTGATCTTCCTCCCTCAGCACTCAGCCTCCTAAATAGCTGGGAGCACAGGCATACACCAGTGCGCCTGTCTAATTTTTTTATTTTTTGTAGAGATGGGCTCGCTTTGTTGCCCAGGCTGGTCTTAAATTTCTGGCTTCACGCAGTCCTCTCACTTTGGCCTCCCAAAGGGCTGGAATTACAGTCATTGGCCACAGTGCCCAGCCTACATGTTCATCTTTCAGTAGCAACAAATCTTTATCTTTTGGTGGCAGGTACAGTTTTGGAAACAAAAGCTATTTGACATTCAGGTATAAAGTAGGTGATCAAGTTAGCTAGAACTGTTTTGAGAAGAAGGGAATAATAGTAATTATAATGATGAAAATAAAGCCTGATTTTCATCAGGGTCTACCAGATTTGCACTGAAGTCCATTTTGGAGGAATTCCCAAAATACGATGAGTTGATGATATAACAACAGCATTGAAAAAAGAAGGCTTTTAAGTTAAATATAAAGTAAATAAGACTCATTGAAATAAATATACATGTATATATTCAGAGTCATCTCTCTAAGAGCATTTTAGCAATTTAATTATTCCATTTACGAAATTCTAAATTTGCTTCTTTTTTCCAAGGTATAAATATATATCCTTGGAAAAACAATTTTACTTAATCATAATCCATGTATAACTTTTAAAATATTATCTTAAATATACATTTCGACAATACTGATATGATTCATGATTCGTATACTAATATATGCTCTAATTTATTACTTAATGGACAGAATTTGAAATTTGCTCATGATTTGAATAAGTAGTTCTTTTTAAATAGCTTTTTAGAAGTGGAAAACGGATGAAGCATTGGTTTGCCATGCTGAAACCCACTAATTATCTGCAGGCTAGGAATTTACACCGCCCCTGTTCGGGAAGGTGCCTTAAACCTGTCAAAGGGTGTATGAGCTCACGGGGTGGCAGGAGGTGTGAGAGTGTCCGGAGCAGAAAGAGTGGATAAAGGACCAGAGAAGGGAGCGGAGCAGAAGGAAGGAGGGGAACGTAAGGAAGCCTGGCAGAGGGAAAGGGGTGAGCATGTCCCCCTGAGGTGGGGTCTGAGGGCTGGGCAGTGACAGGGACTCACTGTGATAGAGAAGATGGAGCACTGGTGTGTGGATTGTGGCCTGAATGCACCCCGTGGAGACGGAGGCAACTCTGGGTAGCTGCTGGAGACACAGCCTGTAAAGACAATGAAGACATCCCTGGAGATAAAGTGGGCTGAGAAAGTTGAATTGAGGAGAACTCTTGTCAGTGAGAATACTATCTGAGGATAATGGGATAGTTTGGAAGCCACTTGGGGTGGACTGGGGTAGATTCCCAGCAGCTGACTGTGGTAGCTGTCTAGGAGGGTGAGCCCAGGTAATTGCAGCACTTTTGTGGTCCAAACTTTGCAGCATGCAGGTCGGGACCAACAGCGAGCTGCTGAGACAACAAAGGGATGGTGCTCACCTCCCCAGGCCTGCAGTAAACATGGGGCTTGCGCATCCGGGTTTGGAGGGAGGGTGGTCATACCCGCTCAAGTGTCCAGCGTGTCCCACCAGCCTGCCGCCCAAGGTCCTCCCTGGGGAAAGGGGAGGAGAGGAAGAGCCTGTGTGAGAAGTTGGGGATGGACAGGAAGGGAAGGAAGAGAACGAAAGAGAAGGAAGAAGGGGAATTAAGGACAGGGAAGTAGGAAGAAGGCAGAGATGCTGAGTAAGGAGACAGGTCTGGAGAGAACAGCATAGTGAGGGAGGAAGGGAAGAGTGAGCCAAGGCCCAGGAGAGTTGGCTGGCAGTGTGAGGGCTGCAGGGCAGCCAGCAGCTCTGCTCAGTCTCACCCCACAGACCCGAAGCCATGCGGAGTTCACAGGTGAACATGGGGAGCCCGTGGGGAGGCAGGCCTCGGCCACCTCAGTGGGAAGAGTGGCATTCCATTCAGAGACCATCCTGTTTCATTTTGGTGAAATGTCTTGTGTTTTGACAACTAAAGGAGGCGTTTTCTTATAATAGATACCATAGTCCCATTTGTTCTCCTTTTCTGTCATATGGCTCTTTGCTGTCATGGAAACAAGTTCCTTTTTTAAAAAAACTGGAGTAAGACTTAACATAATTACAAACAGAACATTCTAATGGAGGGGAAAGGAAATAATGAATATGTATTTTTGAAAATGTCCCCTAAGATTGATTTTTCAACATTCGTAGAATAAAATGTACTCTCAGTAAGAATTTCTTGCTGTCATATGTCATTCAGCCCAACTTAATTCTCAATAATATTGAATCATAAAAGTAAATTATGATGTTTTGATTTGTACTTCAGCTTATTTTCCACTGAATTTAAGTCAAGTCCTTAAAAATCTAAGTAACTAATAAAAGTTTTCTAGTATGCTATCAGCATTGGAAATACCAATTTTCTATATTTTGCCCAAATGTAATGTAACAATGGCCATAAATCTCTATGAGGTTTGGGGAGCTTTTTGTTTTGTTTTTTAAGTAGCTTGTTTCAGAGGATTTGGTTGGTTGATTGGTTGGTTTCGTTGGTTGGTTGGTTTGGTTTGGTTAGTTAGTTGGTTTGTTTTTTGGTTTGGTCAGTTGGTTTGGTTGGTTGGTTGGTTTGATTGGTTGGTTTGGTTGGATTCGTTGTACTTTGACTTAGGCTTTCAGTTTTTCAACCTTAAATTCATCATTTTTGAGCTCGTTGGGGTTCTTGCCCAGTTTAATCATTAACATTTTAACATTGTTAGTTTATGTTTTTGCCATGGTATTTGTCTTTTCCAACAAAGATTGCTTATAACCAAAATCTCTTTAATTTCTCCCTCTAAAAATCTCCAAAGCATTTGCATGCCACCTGATTAGCTGTGTGTCACCACACAAATTAGTTAATCTTTGAGTTTTATTTTCCTCACCTGTGAAATTAAGAAAATAATCCCTTCCTTGCAGAGTTGTTGTGAAGATCACAAATAACATTTGTAAAGTGCTCAGCACACCCGTGACACAGAGAAAGCCCTCAATGCACAGCCCTCTGTCACATATCCCCAGTTAAATGTCTCTGTAACCCCACGTCAAGTCTCTCCCGAGTAAAATTCATCAAAAAATATGAATATCAGATTTTTTTACATAATATTTACACCATGCAAAACTTAAACCTGTCAAAGCAGATTGGTCAGAAGGTAAGATGAAAGAATACACTATTTTCAGATAGTGCTTTAAAATTTTCAAACTTGACTTTATTTTCCTTTGCAGTTTTCTGCTTTTTTATTCTTGAGTAGGATACTAGATAGTTTTTTGTGAGGTTTCTTTTCACTTAGTTATATGATCTATAATAATGCAACAAATATGTTTATGTACTGTGTGTATGTATTATGGCACATAGTGTAATTCCTCCAGTTCTGTATATACATTTATTATGCACATAAATTTGAGGGGGTGTATAGAGCCCACATTATTTTTATTAGCTATGTCCGTCATACGCATGCTAGCAGAAGTCTCCCCATCACATTATTTTTTCATATTATTGGATGTTTAAGTTATTTCAAGTTTCCCCATATGGAATTTGGAAGTTCTGACTCTAACAGAAGTCCCTCCTGGCCTCTCCTGCTTGGAGAGGCACTGATGCATGCTGACCTGCAAAGTGCTGTCTCTGTGTGTGTGTGTGTGGTGGCAGGTGCTGGGCCGCAGCTGTGGGCAAGCCTGGGCTCCAAGACTGACAGTTGTAACAGATGAAGACCTCCTTGGGGTTCAGCAATTCAGTGCTGCTGACACGCACAAAGAGAACTTCTACCCTAGGTCAACTCAGAATGCCCCTGACTGCCCATGGTTTCCTACAAGGTTAGAGGAGAGGTGCTTAAAAACAAGTAATGTCCTCTTAGAAAAAGATTGGGGCCCCAGAGAATAATGTGAAAGTACTTGACTCTCTCAGGGTGATTCAAATGAATCAAGACCTCAGACAGGACAGGCATGGACCCTGAAGTGGTTTTCCATGTTAACATTCCGGTTCCAGAACAGTACTTAAGTGTTCTGCTCCACTGGAAAAAAAAGCGCCATGTTTCCAGGGAAAGACCCAGTGATCAATCAGGCTGGAAGATGATAGGTAGTAGGAAATCAGAGCCTGTCTCATTGTTTTTGAACTTGAAAATTATAGTGTGCAGTGTTTCAAATATATAGAGATATTTTTGAAACAGCATCTTACTCTGTTAGCTTGGGTAGAATGCTGTGGCATCACAGGTCACAGCAACCTCACACTCTTGGCCTTAAGTGATCTTCTTGTCTCAGCCTCCTAAGTAGTGGGCCTAGAGGCACCCACCACAACACTGGGCTAGTTTTCTATTTTTAGTAGAGATGGGGGTCTCACTCTTGCTCAACCTGGTCTCAAACTCCTGAGCTCAAGTGACCCACCTGCCTAGGCCTCCCCGAGTGCTAGGATTATAGGTATTAGCCACTGTACGAGCCATGTTTTACTTTTTTTCCTAATTAAAATGGAAACAAGTGTGTTTTACCATTGTTGCTGCCTGCCTTTTCTCTGTGAGGTTAGGTTGTGTACCTCCTATATTCTTCTGGGAAACTTTAATTAAATATGTATTAAAGTAAAAGAACTCATTTTTGAAAACTTTGGGATTCTTCTTATTTTTTAATTAAATTCTGTGTGGTACCTGGGTGGGGTATTTAGCCTCTGATCATAAATGGGATTAAGTGAGGCTTGTTTTCTTTCAACATTTGGGTGAATTAAGGACACATAATTTAGGTGTGAGCTGAAGACAGTCAGGTGTTCCTTCTTGCTTTCATTCAGTTTGTGCAGATTCGTGTCTGCAGTAGGACGGGGCTACTGGTGTTCAGCTTTGAAAGGAGGCATTGTGCCCCTCAGCTGCTCACACAGCACCTCGCAGCCCAGTAACCCCGGAGCAGGTGACACTGCTCTGACCCTGTAAATGTCATTCCCGTGCTTCCCAGTGCCTGGAGCACCCCTCCATTTTAACAAAAGGTTAAAATCATTGAAAAAGCTATTAAAATAATTTGTGAGGTAGTGGTTTTAGACAGTCTGGGGTTCTTTAAAAAATAATTGTTAATGACATTTTTTAAAAAATCATTGTAAATTTATTTGAATATTATATCAAATAAATATAGTAGAGCTTATGTAAATACAGTGTAGAGCTTACGACTTGAAGAAATATGCTATGAAATCATTTCTTAGGCTCCATTTGTTTCACCTTTGAATTATTTCTGTCATGAATCTAACAATGATATGAATTTAGAACTCTAGGTTTAAAGTCAGTTTTCTCGTTTTTCTTTTTCTGTGTCATGAAACACACTCATACTTGACATCTTAAACTAATTAGGGATAGAAATAATCTTGTGGTGTTAATGAACATTTCCTTTGGCAACTTTCATATGTTTATAAATCCTTAGACAGGATAGATGGATTTATACAATTTACTTGCTATAATAATTTTCTTTCACCTGCTTGTTCTTTTTCTAGGATTTACTAACCAGACATAAAGTGTTGGTAGCAGACTTCTTAGAACAAAATTATGATGCTGTAAGTAGAAGTTATTCTTGAGACTTTCTTTCTTTCTCTCTCCCTCTCACATCTATGGGCAATTGCTCCCATTTATTATCCACAAGAAAACTCAGCCATACTCAGCTGTACTCCTGATTTGTCTATTTACCTGGAAACTAGGTCATTAGGAAACTTTATGGAAAATGGAAAATGGCAGGAGGTCAAGGCTCCTCCTTTTCACATCTCTCCCTGCTGTGCTCTACAGCAAGCACCACAAAGCGACCAGCACCTGCTGGCTTTGGTCTTGAGTTAGGAGGACTGTGTTGTTCTTAAGAAGCAGTGGGTGACTCCAGACGGAAAAGCACCTGGCCTTACTAACATAAATCATTTTGCCTAGTTGATAGCTGATTTTCCTTCTTAGTAGAAGTACTAAAAATACTTCTTCCACTCCCTTCCCTAACGGTGAATCCGGCTTATCCTTTTGAGATCTGGCTAAAATGTCACTCCTCTAGGAAGCTTTCCCTGATCCCGCCCTTCTCCAAAAACATACCATCTCTCACCCTCTCCCTCTCTGTCTTCTTTCCCACCCACACCCCCTTCCCCCTTTTCCACATCCCTTCTCACTTTCCACATTGCATTATTATGTCTTTATGTGTCTGGTGTGCCTCTGTCTTTCTGGCTGGCCCTTGAGCTCCCTGAGAGGCAGGAATCTTGTCTATAGAACATGGGCTTCAGAGCACAAGACAGATTTCAGAGTCTGCCTTTCCAACAGTGTGCAGTGCAGGTAGAAAATTGGGCCCCAAACAGGCTAGTGGCTAGTGATAGCCAACAAATAGCAGTGATAACCCCTAAGAAGTCTCTGACCTGTTTGCACACTAGACACCACTGCGGGAAAGACGCAGGCACCACACCTGTCAGCATGCGTCTTCACACACCCAAGCCAAGGACACTAACTGCATCTCTTTTATTCATAAAGAAAATAAGTGTTCTTTTTGTTGGTGCTCCTTTGATTCATTATTAGCAATATAATCATAAAATCACATACCCACCCCTCCCACTTGGTTCTCTGAAGCCTGGCTGTTCTGCACTCTCTTCACTTCCAGAAGGCTCTCTCTGGCCTCCTGTCCTGGCCGCACCTGCCGCCATCTCTCCAGTGGCCTCTGAGTGGTGCTCACTCTCAGGAGGAGGTGGACACTGAGCTCCCCCAGCTATTGGCACTCTGTTTTGAATCAAAGGCCTACGCCCTTACTGAGGATGACTTTGGGGAACAGAAAGTCTGTGTGCCATTGTCCCCGGCTTCTGGTGAGAGAGGAAGGGCTCCCCAGAGGCCAGGTGGTAGGTGGCTGTCACACAGCAAAGTCTCCTCATTCCTCACCTGTTGACACAAGGAATTTGCTGGCCTGATTCTTTATAGGTTGCCAAGTGAAGCCCTAAATGTATTTAATCTTCTCCAAATTGCTCCTGGGCCCATAGCTACCAGCAAGTCTACATAAATAGATTTCTTTAAAATGGTATAAAATGAATTATCTTGCAACTTTTCATAGATGCAAAGATGTTCAAAATGTTTTATAGGGAGGACTCAAAATTACAATATTTTTCTACTCAATTTCTAATTTGCAGGACTAAATTATAGAGTAGAAAAAGATGTCTCTTATATTCCTTGACCTCCCTGTCTCCCCGGTATGTTCACATGGGAAGGAGGCTGGTGAAATGGTGCCACCTCCCTAGGGGCAGCGGTGATGGTGACTGGCCGGGAGATGCAGAGCAGGCAGCGACAGGGCAGGCTGGACTGGAGGCTGGGGACTCACCCTGGGGAAGACAGCCAGCAGCGGCTGGGGAGTGCTCCCCTGTCACTCACCCTGGGGAAGACAGCCAGCAGCGGCTGGGGAGTGCTCCCCTGTCACTC